TGAAGGGAAGAAGAGGAGAACGTTTTTTCAATTAATAAAATTATAATATTTAAAAAATATTATAATTAAAAATTCTTTTTCTTCCTTTCTCTTTATTCTCTTCAATTTAAACATATTATTAAATAAAAGAAGATGGATCACACTTTTTTTCTTGTTCTATCTCTTGTTCAAGATTCAAATTGGAGACTTCCGAACAAAATTGTTTTTTTTTTTTTTTTTTATGCATCAAAATTGATTTGTTTGATTGATGATTAATTACGTTGGGCTTTTTAATAGTCCATCAGGCACACTTACGCTACCAATGTAAGGCCTATGAGATTAGAGTCCAATTACCAATCGCACTATAGTTTCATGACTGTGGCCCAAAGAGCACCCGCCTCCTCTCTTTGGACCCTGATCATAACGCTTAGGCATGTAAAATTATTAGCACACTCTCCCTCTCTCTCTTCCCTCTCTCCCTTCTCTCCAAATCACATATTAGTAGCACACTATTACCTGGCCCTCTAGGCGAATTGGTGAAGGTGAGTTAATTTCAGCCTCCTCGCTGAGTTCGACCCCCAATCCGCCACTCCCAAGTTGTACTACTTTTAAAAAAAAAAAAGAAAAAAGAATTAAGTATTGTCTTTCGAAGACTGAAAAATGCTAATAGAAGAAAAAAATTACTCCATCACACCATCTCTATAACAAGTAAATGAGTCTTTTTTGTTTTGAAATTTTCAGAATTATTTGTAATAATGTTTTGAAGATTGACAAAGAAAAATAAAATTTCTTTTTATCAGTGATTTAAGTATTGCCGTATAGGTAGCAAACCATTTTATTAATTCTTTTATATATAATTAAATTAGTAAATACATGTAAAATTATAAATATTAAAAAATAATAATAATAAATAATTAAACATTATGCAAAATTATGCAAAAAAATTATATAATAAAAATTATCCCTTTCACCATTGTCCCTATATGTTTAGCTTGAACAAATCTTGGACTCATGACATTTTTTAATAAATTTATATTTCTCTTGGCTAATCAAACATGAAAAATATGTTCAAATAGTCTCTAAAAAGAGTCTATAAAGAGATGAGTCATGAACCTAATTTTCTTTGTACAATACTACAAAATCTTGTAAATTCTCACTCGGATAACCCAAATCACAAACACTAAAAACACAATTCACTTCTATTTCACTTTACCTGCCCCAAATAAAGACAAACAAAGTGCATCCAAAGCTCAAAGTTAGGGAAAAGCAAAGCAAACAAGGAAGAAGAATGCGAAGGACAAAAACCATTCGTCATCACGTGACTATCACGTGGGCATTCTTATCTCCCTGAAAAGATTTATGTAATCCTAAATATAAAGTCTAAACTCTACTCTCCACATATTTATTCGCCAGGTGTCCCCTTTTCCCACCTCTTGTTACGTTTCCCCCACCCGACGCCACTGGGAAAATCACCGGGCCAGTGCTCGCCGGAGATGGTGGGCCAGCAGCGCCGGCGCACTCAAATGCGGCAAATGGCCCTCCGTCCTCATAATCTCTACCGTGTTCCGCCCGCCTAAATGGGTCCGTAAGTACTCCGCCACTGAGGCTGGGACGGAGACATCCTTCGCCGTCTGAATTATGCAACAGGGTACCTTGACAAATCCCAGCACCCCTCTTAGATCGCTGTTGAAAACGGTTCTCGCAACGAACAGCGATATATCCGGCCTCATGTTGAACAGGGTCCGGCTGAATTCCCGGACTGCCGTCGGCACGTCTGCCCCCACCGCCAGCGGAGCGAACCCGTTCACCCAGGCCTCGTAATTGGCTTCCATTGCGCTGAAAAGTTTCTCAATTTCCCCTTCTTCGAACCCTCCGTGGTAATCGCTGTCGTTTAGAAATCTGATTCGCCGTCGTTTGAATGTCTCGTCAATCAATCCAAAATTCAAATCTCTGAAATGATGAATTAAAACAGGGCACGTAAAATTTACCTCGGGGAAGCGCCGATGAGGATCAGGTTGGTGAAAAGCTCAGGGCGGCGGATGGAGGCGAGAATTCCGATCATGGCGGAGACGGAGTGACCCACGAAGGCACAGCGGTCAACGCCTAGAGCGTCCAGAATGTTGAGCACGTCATCGACGTAGGCATCTAGAGTGGTATACCTTCTGAAATCGAAGTAATCGGGATTGACGCTACCGGCGCAAACAAGGTCGTAGAGAACTATGCGATAGTGCGGCGCGAAAAGCAGGACAATGGAATGCCACGCTGACTGGTCCGTGCCGAAGCCATGGGCGAGAACCAGGACTTCCTCGCCGGAGCCGACTACCCTGACGTTTAGAGCATCCAACAGGGCGCTCCCCATAAATTCTGAGGAGAAAAAAAATCAAATAATTCTTTGTCCAGGTAGGAAGGAAGGGGTATGATATAGGTTGTGCGTTGTTTGAAGCACTATTTATACTGCTAGGGATAAGTTATTCAGCTTAACAGAAAGGAAGTCATTTCACTATGCTGTAGAGATGGCCCTTTGTGACAGCGATATTAGCCAAGTTAATTTGACTTTAATTGTATTTCGTTATAAGGTATTATTTATATGTTATACATTTTATTACGGGATATTATTTGTTTTAGATTCATAAATTTTTGGATTTTTAATGTAGTAAAGGAGATGGCAAGATTAAAACTACATATCCTTCAATCAAGGGATTTGACGTGGGAGTTGTTTATGGCATTAATCATTTAAAGGTGAAAAATGAAGACTTGAAAGGTTGACAGGGTGAATCTGAACTGAAAAAGGGTGTTCCACTACTAGTGTTATCTGAATTTTGGTGGTACCCAAAGCAGGACCATTCTTTCTATTCATTCCAAGCCTTTGAATTCTCCCAGCAAAACCAAAATGCGCTATAACATGGAAACAAAGTCAGTGGGACACAGCTTTGGGTGGCCATCTCTTCTCATATGTCTGGAACTAATGTTTAAATTTTTTTTCTTCCTTTTTAAATAAAAAAGACTGTTAGACAATAATTTGAACTTTGAAACTATCTGGGGTCGTACAAAATACAGATCATTCACAGTGGAACTAAGAGTTCCTTTCTTGGTAGGGTTTGTATGTCGTTATTATCTTTCCTTCTCTTTTTCACCCAAAAAAAAAAAGGGCGCAAGATAAAGTAAAAGAATGAAAATGCTTAATACTTCAGTTCATTCCATCTCCTACTTGCCCAGAATTGAAGGGAAAAAATAAAAAAAAGTGAAGTGGTTTTCAATATCTGCTTATTATGTTTTAGTTGTTTCCAGTGTTCTTGAATGGATATGACTTTCTTGGATTGAGATGGCGCTTGTCAAATTCAGTTCCCCTATGATCCTTCTATGGAATATAATCAGAAAAATAGAAAAACCTAATTAGTTCATTAATTCCAAGAAAGTCCAAATTTTCATCACAATGACATTAAGGAAAAAAAAGCTATAAACTTAATTATATATCTGGTTCATATATATATTTGATATGGATAACTGCTCAATGACGTAATGGATGATAACATAGGATGACATAAATAGAAAAAAAAGAAGCAAAAAGATGAACATTGTTGATGTTGTTAATGATATGAGATTTGCAGAAAGCATGCTGAATCCCCTGTTGCAGTTTGTTAGTGTATGCATGTTAATTTCACATGCATGGTATGTACAATCCATTTCTTTAAGCTAAAAACAATATCGGAAGTAGGGTCACAGCAATGGAATCCGATTCAATGGCGATAGACTTCATCACTCAAAAAATATACCGTTCTGGCCCCATAATCTTTAAGATATATCTTGTTTGCTGCATCCAATCTCTCATTGGCCACAGAATTGACATCTTCCATTTATTTCCTTAGTTGCATGCATCTCTTTTGAAAAAAAATTTTCACCCTTGACAAAGATTGGTTGTCCCTTGCGCAACCTTATCACTTTTCCCCCAACTCCATCTTTACAAGGACAAATCTCTTGTCAAGTACTAATTAATTAATATATATACGATCGACATTCAAACACCTATCACATTCAATGGTTATATTGAAAGATCTTTCTTAAAATTTGTTTTAAGTTTCGAATCTAGCTAAAATCTACTACTAATAAAAAGTTTGGTGTTCAAATCGTTAGATTATTCCATTTTGTGAGGAAAGGAGGGGGTTACAATACAATTAGTCTTTTGTTTAAAAATAATAATAAAAAAATTGGCCGACAATACAATTAGTCATTACTTGCTGTCGCTTCTCTCCAGTTATCTCTTACGTTTGGTGGAAATTTAATGTGGGAGAGAACCTTAGGATAGGGACAAGAGGGAGCCAATAGCCAAATACATGCTGAGAGATTAATGGTTAAGGGGGTGATGTCTCCAAGCTATGGAAGGTACGAGCAAGGGTTCCATCAGTGAGAAATGAAGGGGCATGTGAGGACATGGGCAAGAAAGTTTGCAAATAAGTCATGTAGGGTAGGGGCCCCCTTGCCCAAAACTGGCATATTGTGCAACAATGACATTTAAAAAAAAAAGAAAAGAAAAAAGGAGATGAATATATTATATGGTTTGTACAACCTTGTGGAAGCTAATTTCCATGGAGTCTTAATGGGTTTGGTGAGTCACACAGGGCTTATCTTATCTACAAATTTCTTATTCTTTCTTTTCCTTTTTCTCCCCGCTTTGTTGTCTAGCATCTACTCATATATATTCGACATTGTAGGTTTGAATGTGATAGATGTAACGGAGGAAGCAAGAGAAACAAAAACAATCGAGGTTTTAAATTTTTCAGAAGTGAAAATGCATCTCTTGTTACTAAAAATATTAAAAATCTTAATTTTAATAACATAATAAATAAAATTTAAAGGTAACAAATATTATATCTCATTCATATTATCATTATAATGGGATGTCTTTTTCTTTTTTTTTTTTAACTCTTTTTATTTTTATAAGAACAATTTTTACTGTATCACTAACCTTCTTTCCATTCCTCCTTTGAAATCCTCTCCGTCCCTTTTTTCTGTTTCCAAAGAAGCATAACTCAGTTGGTATTAAAAAAGAGATTTTTTTTTTCCCTTCTTGCCCACGTATTAGAACAGAGATTAAGGTTGAACCTCCTTTTTAAGTCACGCGTGTATATCATGATGGTTACCATTATCTTATCTCTCTGACTTTTCATTTTTACTTCGAGATCATGTCGGGTTTGATGTACAGTATGTACTTTTAGTTGGATAAGGTGGAGTCCTGACTTGTTTGGAAGAAATCTTTGGTGCACTCGATCTCCACTACTTCACTTTGCTCCAAACAAATTCTCGTGTAATCATTCCAAATCTTCTTAATACTACTACTAATAATTCCTCACTTGATTCATTTCCATTCTTCTCTTGCCATAAATTTGGAGCATTTTTTCCTTAGAACCTTTGAAGTTCCTAAAAGTTTGGAATATAGCTCCTAGGACGAGTTTAATTAATCAGGTTGGATTGGAGTTTAGAATCAAGTTTAATTGTTTAGGTTAATTAAACTAATTTAAAATTAATGTAATGGGGTACAAAAATTCACAAAGTTTTACCTCGAATTCAAGCTTGAGCTTCGGGTTCTTTATTGTGTTAGCAATGGGGGAATAGTGTGATTAGATAACCGTTGCACGCGTGCATTTGGAGAAACATACAATCCAGATTTTGGTGGGGTTTCCATCATTGCATGTCATCGGCTTCCTGTTCTATCCATTGCATGATGCTATCAACAACTCTCTCGCATTTTTTTGGTCCTGAGCTTGACACAACGACTGTTGAATTGAAATTGTTACTTAAATGGAAATGAATTGATTATATAAGGAGGTCACACAGCCTTCAACAAGCTAGCGCTATCAACAACTCACACGTTCTTGGTCCTATGCTTGACATAATGATTGTTGAATTGAAATTGCTACTTAAAACAGAAAACGAAATAGAAATGAATTGGTTATATTCGGAGGTTACACTGCCCCCAACAAGCTGAAAAGAACATTAATCATTTGGCCCATTTACAAGTAATTTCCATCATCGTAGCATAAAAACGGATTTTAAGTGACATGGCTGAGAAAGAGAAGGATATAGGATTTTTTTTTTTTTTTTTTTGAAGAACTCTCTAATTGCTGAAAAGGACTAAAATGGGGATCTTTGGGTTGGGCTGAAAGCCTGAAACAAGAAGAGCTGGATATGGGCCGTTGTAGTAAAAAGATCCAGTATTGTATAACCATGTTTATTATTGTTTGGTGGGCTACACTTCCTAATCCATGCATGTGGTCCGTTTTGCAGTTGCGGCCCAACTAGCCCCTCAGTAATCAATCATGAGGATGTCCAAATTGGCCGTACCCATGTCAAACCTAATCCGAAGGGAACAAATACAACAAGAAAAAGGGGCACAAACGTAATTCCACATTTATATTGTGTTGGGGAACTTGAATTTAAATTTTATGGCTGTAATTCAAACACATATTTTAAGTACTTATTAAATGAGACAGTTGGGATAAGTTAAACTGCCATAAATTTGAAATTGATTTGATGGAAGTCTTTTTAATTACTTACGTCATAAGTTTTGACGTACCATCTAACTAAATTCAAAATAATGTTCCTTCACAAGGGCAAGAAAGTACATAGCAGTAACCAATATCCCTTATCTCATAGATGTTTATGTCCCCAATTTGAAATTGTGTTGTATTTTGTCATTATATTTATGTAATTATTTAAAAAAAAACAAACCTTTTGAAGTGGGAGCTCACCTCCGATTGTGGGGCAATTGTCCCACATTAATTTTGTGTGCATGAGTTATAAGATATATATAAAACTTCAAGTAATTTCAAACTAATTGATTTTAAAATTGTGCTTTGTTATGTTACTGCACCTATGTAATTGTTTAAAAAAAAAATTAAATAAATGTTTATGCCATATGAACTTTGCTAACCCCATCGCCATCAGCCACCGTCAGAAAGACAAGCTTGTCATGGGTGGTCCTAGTAGCAGAAAGTCCCTCCTTTGCCTTAACTTGGCCACCGCCCATTTTTCCCACTCTCAAGTCATCAACTCCATGAGCGACTCAACATCCCTCCACTTGCTCGGCGAATTCAACTCAATCAACACTGAGCAAGGGGACACAGAGCAATGAAAACGGTGGGAAAACAATGTTTGAAGATAGAATAGACAATTTTAAATGTCTCGTCGGAGCTTCATCGGAAAGAGGCCATATCTCATGGAAGATGAAGATGTAAAGAAGGAATAGAGAATTTGAAATCCAATATCAAATTCCTGGATATAAAAGGACATTTGAAATTTATGATTTTTAATCTTTAAATCACAAGTTAAATAAAATACATGTATGTAGATCAAAATTTAAATATATTTATGTTATGTGACAAAAAATAATAAATTTGAATTTATAACTCTAGAATTAAAATACTTTCTTTTTAAATTCATCTTGTCAATTAAATTATTAATGAGAAAAATATTATATGGTACAATTAGTTTGAATTAATGAATTGGGAATATATATAAATTAATTTATTTCACAACATAATAAGTTTGAATAAATTTTACAAAAGAATAACATAAGATGGATGATATTATTGTTAATTTATTTTAATTAAAAAATACACAAATTAATTTATTTTAATACAAAAAATCATAAATTAAAATTTTTTTAAAAATAAAAAATAAAGTTTAAATGACCCGAAAAGGACATACACTAATATATACATTTTTCGCCTTTTAAGCATGTATGAAGTGTAATTTTAGGCATTGATCGTGCTATCCACATGTAAACCAATAATACAGTTGTGGCCGCCCATCCTCTCTGGTTCCAATTCCATGTGATGTCTGCCGTGGGCCATCCATGTTGTCACGTGCGTGCCGCGCTACAGATTTGATTTTGAAATTTCAAATCAAAGACAGGGCGAGTGGGCCCATATATTTATAATAGGGGCCCACATATTTTTTTTTTTGGTTTCAGGGGCCCACATATTTATAATAAGTAATTATAACTAGAAAAATTAAAAAAACCCTCGGGTAT